ACTGCGTTATAGGCCCTCCCCTGCCCCCAGAGCGCTGCTTTACCGCGTTATATCCGAATTCATGTTATATCGGGTCGCGTTATATCGGGGTAGAGGTGTAGTCCAGACCAGTGATATGTCTATGTGATGCTTTAATAGAGCCAATTTCACAACGCAAAAACAATTATGAACCACATCAGCTGGGAGGAAGATTCTAATCAGAAAAATGTGAGTAATAATTAGGAATCATTTAAGAACACCCTATTAGATGCCCCCAAAGCCACAGTTCCCCAATTGAGGACGGAGGCTGTGCTGGCTAAAAACCGACCTGGTTTAGAAGGGAAGTGAAGGTAGCTGTAAAAAATAAATGAATAAAAAATAATATATAACAAATGGCAGAAAGGGGAAGTTGATGGTAATGAATGTATATCAAAAGTTATTAGATGTAGAACACTGATGAGGGAAACATGGACACAAGGAGAAATCTATGGTCATCTGAGTTAAGGACAATAAGAAGGAATTTTTAAAAAATATATTAGAGGGGAAAAGGAATCCTGACACTGGTACTGCACTGTTACAGGAAGGAAACGGAAGAATAATCAATAATAATGCAGAAAAGGCAGACGTGTGCAATAAGTACTTCTGTTCTGTAATTGGGGATAAAAGAGATGATGCAGTCTCATGGTATGGTAATAACATACTTTCCATTCCACTAATATCTTGGAAGCATGGTAAACAGAAGTAACTAAAGTTAGACATTTTAAAATCATCAGGCCCTGATACCTGCCATCCAAGAGTATTAAAAGAGCTCGCTGATGAGCTCACTGGACTGTTAGTGTTGATTTTCAATCTGTCTTGGAGCACTGTAGGGGGAAGTTCCAGAAGACTGGAAGGAAGCTAACGATGTGCCAATATTCAAAAAGGGTAAATGGGATGACTGGGTAATTATTGGCCTGTCAGCCTGACATTGATTCTGGGCAAAGTAAGGGAGCAGCTGATACAGGACTCAATTAATAGTGAATTAAAGAATAATAATGTAATTAATGCAAATCAAAATGGGTTATGGAAAATAGATCCTATTAAACTAACTTGATTTTTTTTTTTGTGGATGAGATGACAAATTTGGTTGATAAAGGTAATTAGTATTGATCTAAGACATTTAGACTTCTGTGAGATATTTAACTTGGCACCTCATGACATTTTGATTAAAAAGCTAGAACTATATAAATTTAGCATGGCACCCATTAAATGGATTAAAGGCTGGCTAAGGGATAGGTTTCAATATGTAATTGTAAATGAGCAATGATCATTGAGCGGTTGTGTTTTCAAATGAGGTCCCACAGGGACTGGGTCTTGGCCCTATGCCATTTAACATCTTAATCAATAACCTGGTAGAAAACATGAAATCTTCACTGATAAAGTTTGCAGATAACACACAAATTGGGGGTGTGCTAACTAATGAAGATGACACGTCACTGATTCAGAGTGTTCTGGATAACTTAGAAAACTGGGCACAAGCAAACAAAATGTGTTTTAATTTTGCTAAATATAAACATATACATCTAGGACCATAGAATGTGGGCTATTCTTACAGGATGGGGGCCTCTCTCCTGGGAAGCAGCGACTCTGACAAAGAGTTGGGGGTCATGGTGGATAATCAGCTGAACACGAGCTCCCGGTGTGATACTGAGGCCAAAGGCGCTAATGCGATCCAGGGATACAGAAACAGGGGAATCACAAGTAGGAGTAGAGAGGTTATTTTACCTCGATATTTGGGAGTGGTGTGACCGCTGCTGGAATAACTGGGTCCTGGTGTGCTGAATTCAAGATGGATATTGATAAATTGGAGAGGGTTCCGAGAAGAGCCATGAGAATGATTAAAGGATTAGAAAACCTGCCTTCTAGAGATAAATTCAAAGAGCTCAATCAATGCAGCTTAACAAAGAGAAGATTAAGGGGTGACAATCAAAATCTGTAAGTATCTGCATAGGGAACAAATATTTAGTAGTGGGCTCTTCAGTCTAGCAGAGAAAGGTGTAATACGATCCAATGGCTGGACGCTAAAGCTAGACAAATTCAGGCCGGACATTTTATAACAGTGAGAGGAATCAGCCATTGGAACAATTGACCGGGGTCATGGTGGATTCTCTATCACTGGCTATTTTTAACTCAAGGTTGGATGTGGAGTATAGAACCGTATTCTCCTACTTAGCCCCCCAGAGTGAAGGGGGGGGGAACAGAGGCCAGCTGGGAATGGCAATGTGGATAGGAGGAAAAAGCCTGGAGCAGGAGAACGAGGAGGGGAGTAGAAAGGAGGGGCCATGAAGTGGGAAAGGGGGAGGGAGTCATGGGCATGGGGGAGGGACCATGCAAGGAGAAAGGCATACATGCTCTAATATCTATTGGCCTTGACACAACAAGATCAGGGGAAAACACTGAACAAGATTTATGGACACTAAATCATGCTGCATAGTAAATAACATGAAATGTACTAAACATGTGCAAACAAGCATCATCGTGAATCAAGCTTCTAAGTTGTTGTCTAGAAAGGTTATTGTTGTGGTGTTCATTTAGTCCCTGTTCAGTATCTGAATTCCCACCGCGTTGATTCCATTTACAGGAGTACAATCTTTCCAACATATATTACTTACATAAAAGGCCTGAAACTTAATCCTCAGAATGTATTTAAACATCACCCTTGAAGTTCGCTTGCTGTCAAAATTAATGCAAAAATGATTCTCCGTGGAGCTACAAAAGATTTTATTCTAAAATTTTACTATTTCTGACAGGAAAAGTCTGCTTCCCGGAGTTTAAGGCTAGCAGAAAAGGGAACTAATGTAATTGGTGCATTTATAGTCCAAGAATGGCCAGTTGTCTCTGAAGGAGTCCAGTATAAATTGGTGTAACATTGGATTCTATAGAGAAAGAATTACACTCTCAGCTGGCTGTAAAAACTAAATTTGTTTTTATATCCTTTTCCAGTTGTCAGATAAATACTGATTCTCTAGAGCATGTATTATGGGAGAGCCATTGGCTGAGAGATTGATTCAGTGATGAAGGACCATTTTCTAGTCCCCAGGTGATATGCTCTTCTCTGTTTAAAAATACAACCTGCCTAAAAGGAATTTGTTAGAGAGGAAAACCTCAGCACCTACATAGAAGTGCAAATACTGTCTGACTAACGAATGATATAGCAACAGTTTATGTTGAGTAAGAACTTTTTAATTCAAGATCATAAACAGATAGCTCAGGATATGGACTTTGTTAGAAATACACCTTCTGCAGGAGTTCATCATGTGTTGGAGATGGTCATCAGCACTAAGAATCATCAACCTCACCCTCAAGGCCGTGTTCATTTTTTAAACTATCATTTGTCAGGTGAAGCCCTCTTGCCGGAGGGACTCAGTGGTCTGGAACAGCTCCCGCTTACATTAGCTTCAGAATGACTTTTAGGTGCTCACTGTTTCTGAGGAATAGCGCTTAGGGGCTTGATATCATAGAATATCAGGGTTGGAAGGGACCTCAGGAGGTCATCTAGTCCAACCCCCTGCTCAAAGCAGGACCAATCCCCAGACAGATTTTTGCCCCAGATCCCTAAATGGCCCCCTCAAGGATTGAGCTCACAACCCTGGGTTTAGCAGGCCAATGCTCAAACCATTGAGATATCCCTCCCCCCATTGTCACTGATTGTCTTTGCATCTTACAGACTCTTATTCCATTTCATTTCCCAGTTCATGGACAGACCGGATTACTGTTCCCCGTTCAAAGTTCCCAGGGCTTGCCTAACAACTCTCACAAGCTTTGAACCTGGGACAGCTGTGAAACAGCTTGTATGTTTGCGTATGCAGGGGTGCGGGAGCCATGTCAGTCTCTGGATATTAGAGAGACAAGGTGGGTGAGGTAATATTTCTGATAGGACCAAGTTCTGTCTCTCTCACCAACAGTAGTTGGTTTAATAAAAGCTATTACCTCACCCACCTGGTCTCTGTGTGTTTATGGCCATTTAAAATATACTGTCTTTATGGTAGTATATTTATGGAGCTGGTGAAGTGGTTGTGCAATTCTGGTGTGTGCAGATGTGCTAGAACCCAAGACTAAGACTAATTGTACTGGCAGTATTTTCTGGGGGTGGGGGGAATACAGTGTTGCTGCCCAGGGAGTTGGAGAAAGTGATAACCATCTAAAATTTGGTTGGGTTCCCTATTTATCTAGCCCTCCGCCAACAAAATAATTAACAATTTATGAATGGCAGACAACAAACTCCTTAGAGTTTGTTCTGCACATAACACTAAGAGCTTAGGTGTTGGGTAGACCTGTGTGTTCCACTTGTCGTTTTTAGGGAGACTGGCCGAACAGCTGCAAGGTCTGTACAAACAGGTGCAAGACTCCTTTTCCGCCCAGGTAACTACTTAGCAGTATCACAAAGACACATCAAAAATGAAGGGGTTGACAGTGTCTACTCAGGAGAGGCCAAGGAGTGGCATAACCGGGTGGTGCAGGTCCAAGAATGAGTTGCGTTGGCAGGGGCTTCCAAATGTGCGGCTGATAGTACGTAAAATTCTGTGCCTCTGTTATCCAACTGCTATTTCCATAAGACCAAACAAATAATGTATAAACCACCGAAGAACGCTGTGTTGGTCTGCTGTTTGGTAATGGATGACACCCGTCACCATTAAAAAGTAAATCCATGGCTTATGAATGCCCATCGTTATTATCACGTATTCATTGTATTGGGGTTCTTCTCAGCCTAATGGGACCATCTCCTGTTGGTGTCATCATTTTTACTGTGGTAGCACCAAGACTGGTGCCTCATTGTGCTACTCAGTGTACAGACATGTATTGAGAGACAGCCACTCCCCCAAAGAGCTTACAATCGAAATAGACATGGACAACATCCCGATCCCTTGAGTCACAGCCCACTGCTGTAACCACTAGCCCAGCCTTCCTTTCTTTGCCTCCTTATTGCATGGGTTGTGTTCCACATGGGGGATATTAACAATGTGCTTTGCGCTCTCTTGCAGGCTCTGAAACCTGATCTACAATGGAAAAACTGCTTTTGTATCTGCTGTTCATTGGCGTAGCAGTGAGAGCCCAGATCTGCCCCAAGCGCTGTGTCTGTCAGATTTTGTCTCCAAATCTTGCAACCCTTTGTGCCAAGAAAGGGCTTTTATTTGTTCCCCCAAACATTGACAGAAGGACTGTGGAACTGCGACTGGCGGACAATTTTGTTACAAACATCAAAAGGAAAGATTTTGCCAACATGACCAGCCTCGTGGACCTGACGCTATCCAGGAATACAATAAGTTTTATTACACCTCATGCATTTGCTGATTTGCGCAATTTGCGAGCTTTGCATTTGAACAGCAACAGGTTGACTAAGATCACCAATGACATGTTCAGTGGGCTTTCCAACCTGCACCATTTGATACTTAACAACAATCAGCTGACTTTAATTTCTTCCACAGCCTTTGATGATGTTTTAGCTCTTGAGGAACTGGATTTGTCCTATAACAATCTAGAAACTATCCCTTGGGATGCTGTGGAGAAGATGGTTAGCTTGCACACACTCAGCTTAGACCACAATATGATTGACCACATTCCTAAGGGAACTTTCTCCCATCTCCACAAGATGACCAGGTTAGATGTCACATCAAATAAATTGCAGAAGCTGCCACCTGATCCTCTCTTTCAACGAGCTCAGGTATTAGCAACCTCAGGAATCATCAGCCCCTCTACTTTTGCATTAAGCTTTGGTGGAAACCCTTTGCATTGCAACTGTGAACTCCTGTGGCTGAGGCGTCTTTCCAGAGAAGATGACCTAGAGACTTGCGCTTCTCCTCCACTGTTATCTGGTCGGTATTTTTGGTCAATCCCAGAGGAAGAGTTCCTGTGTGAACCCCCTCTCATTACTAGACATACCCATGAGCTCAGAGTGCTGGAGGGTCAACGGGCAACTCTGAGATGTAAGGCCCGGGGTGATCCAGAGCCAGCCATTCATTGGATTTCACCAGAAGGCAAACTTATTTCAAATGCAACAAGGTCGCTGGTGTACGACAATGGAACGCTAGACATACTTATAACAACTGTGAAGGATACAGGCTCCTTTACCTGCATAGCATCGAACCCTGCAGGAGAAGCCACTCAAATGGTGGATCTTCACATAATCAAACTTCCTCACTTGCTAAACAGTACAAACCACATTCACGAGCCTGACCCTGGCTCCTCGGACATCTCGACCTCCACCAAGTCAGGGTCAAATGCGAGTAGTAATAATGGGGATACTAAAGTCAGCCAGGATAAGAAAGTTGTAGTAGCAGAAGCAACATCATCCACTGCGCTACTCAAATTTAATTTTCAAAGAAATATACCTGGAATACGTATGTTCCAAATCCAGTACAATGGTACTTACGATGACTCACTTGTTTACAGGTAAGACAGATCCAACCACATCTGTATCTGCACTTAGCTCTCCATCAAATTGTTTCCTATTGATTTATTAATGCACTGTTTCATTGCAGTCCATTATTGAGGAGTGGTTACAGTACCACTTAGCCTGATCAGAATACTGCCCTCAGAAGCATATGGCGCAGGGCTTGTGAAAGTCTAATACAATTTTCAACTAACAAATAGGAAAATTACTTTGAATAGTGTTATTTTTGGATAATCCAATCTGACCTTTATCCCCTGCGGTAATCTGATTAGTAGAAGGATTGTAGTTAGATGAGTTAAATGGATCTTACACCCTCAGTTTTTGAAAACCTGGGAGAAAGATGTCCATAAATGTACGTCCACTAAAGCCCTCTAATTCTGTCCTCAGTCTCTCTGCCGCTCAGCCTGGTGCAGTGCACGCAGAGGTGTTTTATGTGCTAAGTGGATTTGTTTTCAAGTCAGTTAATGTAACAGTCACACCTTTCAAAACCAATTTGTCATCAATGATTTTTTTTTATTTAGCGGTGGCTCGTCCAAGGAGCTCTGCACTGCTGAGCAAGGCAATTAGTGGGCTTGCCAGTGGGAGCCGCAGCGCTGCTAATGCAGGGCTCAGAGCCATTGGAGTTGGCTCTGAGTAACTCCACGGGTGCAGTGTGTTAGTGCCTCTGGGGGTGATCGCCTTCGCAGGTGATCTGAGAGCGGGGGATGGGAGATGACTGTGAGTGCCTTGTTTAATAACATCAGTTCCCTTGTCCCCCAGAATGATACCTCCCACGAGCAAAACCTTCCTGGTCAACAACCTGGCCGCTGGGACTGTCTACGACCTGTGTGTCTTGGCAATCTATGACGACGGCATCACCTCCCTCACGGCCACCAGGGTCGTCGGGTGCATACAGTTCACGACCGAGCAGGATTATGTCCGTTGCCATTTCATGCAATCCCAGTTCCTGGGCGGCACCATGATTATCATCATCGGTGGGATTATCGTGGCCTCCGTGCTCGTGTTCATCATCATCCTCATGATCCGCTACAAGGTGTGTAACAACAACGGGCAGCACAAGGTGACCAAGGTCAGCAATGTTTATTCTCAGACCAACGGCGCTCAGATGCAAGGCTGCAGTGGTGCGATGCCCCCGTCGATGTCCAAACAGGTCGTCGGGCATGAGGAGAGCGTCCAGTGCTCCAGAGTCCCCACTGACAGTGTGACTCAGTCCTCAGACACTTGCTCGAGCCAGGACTCCACTACCACTACCTCTGCAATGCCTCACACGTGGACTTCCAGCGCGTCGGCCTCCCAAAAGCAGAAGAGAAAGCCTGGGCCAAAGCCAAGCAGCGAGCCACCGAGCGAAGCTCTCACAAATATCGAGTCCCAGAACACTAACCGAAATAACTCCACTGCACTGCAGCTAGCTAGTCGTCCCCCGGCCTCTGCCAAAGGGCCCCCCACCTACAAAAGAGCACAATCAAAGCCAAGTAAGTTTCTCACTTTGCCAGCTGAAACATCCAGAGCAAAGCGCAGGTACTCCCTGAACGGAGAATTAATGGAATACCATTGGTATGGTAACTCCCAGAACACAGGTGGATTATGGTCTAAAAGGAGCATGTCTATGAATGGGATGCTAATTCAGTCAGACAATTCTGATGTGGATAGTGGAAAAGCAACTTTCTCGAGTTCTGAGTGGATATTGGAAAGCACTGTGTGACCTGCTTTTTAAAGTGTATTTTATTTTATTGTCATGAAAAACAAAACAGCAAACATTGTGTGAGACCTCACTGCTGGGAGATGGGGATTTGGAATTTCACTCCTGGCTTGCTGAGCCCTGGCTTGTCCAGGCAGGGTTGTGTGGGAGCTGCCCAGGGCACACAGGTTTTGTTATGTTTATTTTATTTTATTTAATATAACAACCGAAGGCAACATTCAAAGATAAAATGATTAAAGGAAAAAAGCATGAAACAGCACCAGTGCCTTCCCCTACTCTAGGACTGGCTTCCTGGTTCTGCAGTAGCAGAAAACAAAAGAGAGTTTCACAGAAAAAGCCTTTTCTAAAGGAAATGCTCTTTCCTCCAAGCTAACAAAAGACAACTTATGGATCAATCAGTAAAATGATATTTTTTAAAATGATCAGACTGTATGTTTCTTTTCAGTGACAATGGTGTTGCCTTTGTTTTTAGGCAAATGCTGTACAGAAACAACAACTCTGTGTTGTTATGTTGTGTAAAATAAAATACTCAATAAGTGTACCCAGCCAGTGTTAAAGGAAGTCCCCTTGGAAGCAGCATTCTTGGTGTAGGTTCCTTAGAGGTTCCCTGGTATTGGCATTACCAGCCGTTTTCCCAGCTGGTGCAGGGAGGGGAGGGGAAAGGAGATGCCCTCAGCGTTCTGGGGTGAGTAAAAGCTCTGTTTTAGTGTGCGGGAATGAAGACACAGGGCCAGATCCTCATCTGGTGAAGACGGGTGTTGCTCCACCCCAGCCAGTGACAATGCCTGTGCACCAGCAGAGGACCTGGCTCCGAGCCAGAATCCCAAATGCAGGTATGTCGGCATTCAGGGCTTCGATGTGTGTTGTGTGGGGGGCAGCAAAGGGTCAGAGCATGACAGGTCTTTCCCTGTGAGGGTAGTTGGGTCTCATGAGATGGGGGAGTTTAAGACCTGGTTTGTTAGGTTCCGAATAAATGGAGAAAAACAATAATGCAGGGCCCAGAGCTGCCGTCCCTAATCAGTAAAGACACATGGTGATTGCAGTGGGGGGTTATGGGTGCAAGGGCAGGAGTATCAGGCTCAGAAATTTGCAGCCACCCTCGCTAGCAGGAAACCTGCCCAGTCTTCACCCCCACTTTAGCAAGGACCTGTCAGGATGGCAACCTTGACACAGTACTCAGCCAAACCCTGTAGTGCCAGGCAACACTGGCGCTCAGTTTAGCCATCTGAGACGAGCGGCCTGGGTCCCGGGGGCTGGAGTCCTCCCATGACCCTGCATGGTGACAACCCTACTGCTTCTCAGACATGGGAAATGGTACATCTGTCAAGACACAGTCCCCAGTTCAGGCCCAGTGCCTTAGATTAGACGTGAGTGCATAGCATGACTCCTAGTGATGGCTAAAAGGAAGGCACTTCCAGTTTCATGTTACGATAAATCTCTGAGGCTGCAGAGCAGGACTAGGCGGGTGGATCATCTTCTGGCAAATTAATAATATTAATTAATAATTAATTAATAATTAATGCAATCCTTTCCTAGCCCTGGTGCTTCTTTTGGTTGTCATTTCTGTATGTTCACATACTGTTTGGAGATTTCTCTGCTGCCTGGGTACAATAAGGGGCATGGAAGGCAGTCCCAGCCATGAACTCGCCTGTTATGCGATTGTTGTGCCTTGGGATTTAAATCCCTTTTTTCAATGACACAGTTAGAAACAGAGAGAGCAGAGCAATGCCGTGAAGGAGTGGTGGGATAGAGCTGCTGACAGAGCCACTCCAGTCTGTTACATAAAACATAAATGTGCAGAACTAGATGCATAACTATTGGAACAGTCATTTTCGCAAGGAAAACACGTGTTTCTATTGCTCTATTATGTCCATTACCCCCTCGCCCCATTCCACTCTTCAATTCACCTCAGCTTATTTCGTCTCCGTGTCTAAATCAGAGATATTTTAATGGCATGACAATTGTAATATGCTACTGAATGCAAATCACTAGTTTTAGCCTCACTTTGGCAACACATCATACCTATCCAGAAGTTAAGCTTCTAGGCCATTTTTCCTTAGCGGTATTGGTGTTATGAGGATTACAGTAACCGAGTGAGAGATTTTGCTCTCTGGTCAAAATGTTATTTTATACCCAGTAATTTGGTGCTTGAAACCAAATAAATCCCAATGATCTGTTACAGGACAGCCCTGTTCTGCATCAGTTTAGCCTCTCATCAGGCCGATCCTGAAGCGTTCCTGTTGCCATCACTGGATTGCATCTGCAAAGGCATTGCAGGATTGGGCTCAGAAAGGGCCCCATCAGAGTGTACTAGAAGATAGACCGTGTTTTCATGCTGTGCTGGAAGGAGAGAAACCCCTTTTTTAAAAAAGCCCATTTTTCCCCATGCAACTGCAGAGACCCACAAGAAAACCTAAGCCCAAAATGATGATATTCAATTCCCAATGAGCAAGTTAAAAACCTCTGGGTTTCCCTGCCATCCATGCATTATAGGTCCCTTTCGGCGGGGGCACACACCAATAGCTGCTAAAACGCTATGTCACAAAGGATCCCCACCTAGTTATTCTAATTCCCATAGTCTTAAAGCGAAGGTGTTGTCAGACATGGTTAAGAGAAAATACCATATGGTCTGTAGGGAGGAAATAAAAACCTATGGAGCCGGCGCATTGAACCTGTGTGTAGGTGAGAAGGTAGCTTTACAGGGTTTTTTGCTGATCTGTTTGTTTCAATCACGTGCAGTTTAAAAGTAACAAACTACAATGCTATATCTGTTGTCTGAATTGGAACTAATGTGTGTCTAATGTGCTGTGCAAGTGCCAAAATATTAATAGCGTCTTGGGTTTTTCTTTTTTACACTAAAGAGTCAGTTTTGTAAACACTAAAGCTAAAAACTCCATCCACCATACATTTCTATCAGAGGCTTCCGGGGACCAGCTGGCACCATTTGGTTTGATTCTATGATAATATTACAGGAATACTTAGACTGGATATCAGGGAAGGTTATTCACATGGCTCTCTCTCCCTTCATCTGACATATATGCAGTGTATATGCATTGGGCATAAAATGTCTGCCATTCCACTGTCATACATGTGCAACGGGACCTTTCCTTTTATTCAGGATTTCTACGGGCTTGACTCCTCCGAAGTGTGGAACGCCCTAGGACGGAGGAGAATCTGTATTCTTCCAATTCTGCAAAGCCAGCGGTGCCAATTGCTTGGGGGCAGAGTGTGCTCGGACAAAGGCATTCACTATTCAGAAGAACAAAACTTACCCACACATACTCAGTGTGAGCTACTGGAAACCCTGCAGAAAAGAAGAGAGATGGTTAGCAAGGGCCGGTGAACTCCACCCCCTGTGCGGGGAGGCCAGCATAAGAACTAGGTACCACTAAGTCCTTGGACAATAAGTGGAACATAGTGGCACCTACCTCATGTGCTGGCTCCCTGCACGGGCGCCTTTCACCCACCGAGACCACACTAGTGATTGTGCTTAGCACTTAGACAGCAGAGGACTTTCCGCAATGAATTACCTCGGGTGCCTGTGGCTTGTAAAATACAGACCCTGTTCCAAAGGGGCCATGCAACCTGGATTATGCTGCCAAGAGCTCAGCAGTGAAGTGGTATCTTCTCTTATAATCACCAGAGGGGGGAAAAATCACAAGTGTGTTATTGGTTCTAAAATTTGCTGGCACGTGCCTCCTCTCCCAGCCCTTCTGGCATTAACTGTTCTACTGAAAGAAAATTCCCTGGGTTTGCTATACTGGTTTGGATGGAGGAACAGTGCTGGGCGCAGAGTGTGTTTGCTGTGTTAGGTGTTCTCTGTGCTGCCTTTCTGGTTGTGCTTTGGGGGGTTCCTTGCTCTGTGCTGAATATGGGACAGTTCAGTTCTAGGTGCAGATGTGGCTTGACTTGTCCATTGTGCTTTTATTTACTTGAAAACGCTCCATTTTCCTCATGCTCTTGTGCAAAAGAGCAACAATAGAACAATCAGCCAGAACAACATGTCCCAGCCTCACCCCCTCCAGGAAAGGATGGAGTCCCAGCTGTCAGCCTGTCGAGCTTCCATTCAGCTCCATGTTGTCCTTTAGCCCAACTTCTGGCTCTCTGCCCCGCCTCTCAGGGAATGCAGACAATAGAGACAAGGGCCGGCCAGTGAAGCATGGTCTGCATGCAGAACTGTGCCGCTGGGAAAGCAGAGGGTAGATGCCGCTGGGTGTGTTAGTATCCGAGGGTACTGGAGAAGATTCAGTCTCTCAAGGATGCGGGTGGTTATACCATTATTAAGTACTGTTCCTAAATCAGCCAATCTTGTCTGCCCCATGGAAAACTCTGCTCCGTGATGTTTTGTTGCCTAGTCTGTCCACAATACCCAGGTGAGATCATTGTTACAGTGCAGAAACCCTTTGACCCACCTCTGTTGCAGTGGCCAGGTGCATCGTGAGTGTCCCACACTTTGAGGTAGTGCGTACCAGACGAACATTCACACCGGGCTCTTGGTCGCTCACTGGTGTTATTGCAAACCTTGTAAAAATCAGCCAAGTCTAGATCAACCCTTTTCCCCTGTAAACGGAACATTGCCCACCCATGACCTGAGAGCGCCTTATAAATATAGGGTGTCAAATCATAGAAGCTTTGCGAGCGTGTTAATTCAAAGCAGCCCCTATGCTGCTGTATTATACCTCACTGCAAACTGCTACGCCCGCAGGAGCCACGGGCCCCTCTACACTGGAGCCCCCAGCTGCACTAGTCACAGAGCGCTCCTCTAATCAGCGTTAAGCTTTTGTGTGCAAGGTTTGAAATCAAAATTGGGATCTTGTCTTTTGATTGGGAAGAGTGAGGCCTTTGAGCCTTCTCTCTCTCTGCAATGCTGTAAGAAGGCTTAGCTTTGCTGCTAATGAAAACATGGTCTTATTTCCCAAGGAACATTCAAAAGAACTGGCAACTATTTTTAATGCGCTTGTTGTCCATTATTTAGGCAAGAACCTTTCAGAAGGCTGAAAACCCCGTTACAAATCAGATCCTCCAGTGATGTAAATCGGCATGTCAATGGAGCTACTCCCATTTGCACAAGCTGAGGCTCTGACCCAGAATATTATCTTGCTTGTAGCAAACACTGTGCTACATTTTACTACGTTCCGGATATTGCAAAGTCAATGTGAATCCTGCTGTGGAATTCCCTGTCTGTTTCACCAGCAGCCACACTGACGACAATAGCGGCAATACGCACCATGCAGGGGAGGGAGAAACTGTTTTTTTCTAATTAATTAATGCAACAAGCAGCAGAAGGGGAGTTTATACACAGTGCCGGTTCATAATATAGTATTAGTGTTTGTCATTGTTATTATTTCCCATTGCCTCCGACTTATTAAACGCAAATGTCGACTCTAGAAGTTGCTGCTCAGCAGAATTACTACAGTTTGCAGCCTCACTAAATCTGTATCAAAATTTACTGGCTCAGTTGCAAAGTCTCCTCCCTCACTGTTACCAGGCTGAGTGTGAAATAAATTATTTGAACCTCTCTATACAAAAAATT